TTTTTCTTTAGTAACTCAGTTGTAACTATATGTAGATTAAGAAAGTACAGTTGTAGTAATTTTTAAAAACTGTTCAAAATATTTTTCTAATCTTTTCCATAGATTTAACACAGATCAACAGGTTGTAACTTTTTACTGTTTTTAATTCTATTTCCTTCAGAAGATAGTTTGAGGCATATTTACAAAAAGAGGTGACTTGAATCACATGTACTTGTATTTATTATTACATATTGCTATTTTCATAATATTTTTTTATGAGTGACACATTTATGACTGCTAAATCAGAATATTATGAGTTGAAAAATTTACCTGAGTGCAAGTCTTCATTTTGTTTACATTATTTCATGCTAATGTAAGAAGTTTTAAAAAAAATACTGATAAATTACATGCATGTCTATCAAATGTCAAACCTTCTTTTTCAGTAATAGGAATTACAGAAACATGGATAAAAGAAAATGAGAAACTTCTGCCAATCCACGAATTGGATGGACATAATTTTGTCAGTCAAGGTAGAAGTGATCGCTCAGGTGGTGGAGTTGGAATATTTGTAAATGAATCATTGAAATATAAAATACGTGAAGACTTAAAATTATTTGTGAGTGAAGTAGAAAGTATGTTTGTTGAACTTTTTTTCAACAGGAAGAGTGTCATAGTTGGCGTAGTTTACAGACCACCAGGTCAGACAATTCTTGCATTCAAGGAATCTTTTGAACCAATCCTCTTTAAAGTTATTGGTGATCACAAACCTTGCTATATAATGGGAGATTTCAATATAAATCATTTTGTTGGAGAAGAGATGGAGCCTAATGATTTTGTACAATTTATGAATTCCTATTCTTTTTCTCCTGTAATATCTAAGCCAACTCGAATCACTATAGAAACCTCAACTTTGTTGGATAATATTTTTGTTAACAGCACATGTGATGATTATTTGTCTGGAATTATTACATACCCTGTAAGTGACCACATGCCTATATTTTGTATTTCTAATCTTATTATGAATTCAAACCACAATGTAAGGTCTGCTCGAAGTGTGAGGCATATTAACGAAGAAAATATAATATTATTTTGTACTGAATTGAGTAAGGTGAACTGGGAATTCATTTTGAAAAATTCAACTACTGATGTTAACCAGTTATACGATTCATTGTTTGAGGTTTTTGGCTCTATTTATGATCATTGCTTTCCAAAACAACAACCCAAAGATAATCGAAAAGAAAAACGTAACCCATGGTATGATCATTCTTTAAAAAAGCTTTGTCGTAAGAAAAATGCTTTGTATCACAAATTTATAAAAAATCCCACCCATTACAGAGAAGATGTTTACAAGAAACAAAGGAATATTGTAAATAATGCGACTAGAAATGCAAAACGTGACTATTATCAAAAGAAATTTTATGGTAAAAGAAATGATTTGAAAGGAACATGGCGTGTTATAAACAATATTTTAAAACAACAAAAGAAATTGACTGTCCAACTCTTTTAAAAGATGGACAAAATATTGAGGAACCATCAGAAGTGTTGCGAGTTTTTAATGAATATTTTGTTTCTGTTGGTGAGAATGTTGCAAACAATATGCCTAATACTTTAACAGACCCTATTAAATATTTGTGTGGTGATTATCCACAATCCTTATTTTTCACATGTACTAAGGAATCTGAGGTAATCAATACAGTGTTAAGTTTAAAAGAAGGCAAAAGCCCAGGTTACGATGATATAGACACCGAAGTTTTAAAACAATGTATACACATTGTTGCTCCAGTGTTAACTCATATTTTCAATACCTCTATAGAAACAGGATGCTTTCCAGATGCTTTAAAAGTTGCTAAAGTTTTGCCAATATTTAAAAAGGGAGATAAATCTTTATGTACAAACTATCGACCTGTGTCCCTGCTTTCGGTCTTTGATAAACTTTTTGAAAAATTGATATATGCAAAACTTATGTCTTATATATGTAAACACAATATTTTATACAATAGACAATTTGGTTTCCGCTCTGGACATTCTACATCTATGGCCCTACTTAAATTTATCGATCAACTTAATACAGCTTTTGAAAATAAGAATATTGGACTAGGAATATTTTTGGACCTATCAAAGGCATTCGACTCAATGAATCATGATATTTTGTTACGTAAGTTGAAATTTTATGGTATTGGAGGAATTTCTTTAGAATTGATACATAGCTATTTATTTGACAGAAAGCAATTTGTTTATATAGATGATGTTAACTCCACATTATTGACACTCGCTGGAGGTATTCCGCAAGGGTCAATTTTTAGGTCCATTAATTTTTCTATTATATTAATGACATTCAATACGTAAGCCCAAACCTTTGCCCAATCATATTTGCAGATGACACAAACCTCTTTGTGTCTGGTAAAAATATCTATGAAATATCAACCATAATTACTTTAGAAATACCAAAAATTGAGTTGTGGTTTTTGGCTAACAAATTACTTATAAATTCCCAAAAAACTAATTGTATGATATTCAAGCAGAAAAACAAAAAAATTTCAGGTCAAATCTGTGACAATGAAATTAATAACTATAATATATTACAAGTTTCTAATACTGTATTTCTTGGAGTGACACTTGATGAAAATCTTACTTGGGCTCCACATATTAATAATACCCGGCGGAAGATTTCATGTGCAATAGGTGTATTATATAGAATACGACACTTGATTCCTTTAAATATATTGATTAAAATCTACAATGCAATCTTTCTTCCTCATCTGTCCTATTGTACTTTGATATGGGGACATTGTGCAACAACTTTAATGAATCAAGTTTATGTTTTACAGAAAAGAGCACTACGTGCAATTACAAATTCTTACCCCAGAACCCCATCTGAACCGCTTTTTAGGAAATTAAATGTACTTACCATATTTCAAATACATGAATTGCAAGTTGGATCATTTATGTATATGTACAATAAGAATATGTTACCTTCTATTTTCGATAATATGTTCAAAATAACAAAGGATGTTCATCCTCATTACACAAGACATGCTAATGATTTATATATTCCATTGTTAAAATACCATACTTCACGTAGATCAGTTAAATATTCCGGAGTAATTAGTTGGAATGCAATACCTACCCATATAAGAAATGTGCCCATATGTTGCCTCATTTAAACGTAAATACAAGAACTATTTAATGAAGGAATTCCTATCGTATGTTTAATTTAATTAGCCTGTACTCATTTGTTTATATTTTATATTTACTACCCATTGTTTTTGTTTCTCTGTACTTTGTATTATTATCTGAGGACACTGGAGCCCAGCCTTTGAAAGGCCAATGGCCTCTGCTGGCTCCTCCATATTCTTTGTATTATTTATATTTATATATTTGCTTATATGTATAATGTATTGTTAACTGTATTTTTATACGAGAAATGGAAATAAAATGAACTTGAACTTGACTACCAGGACTCAACGAGTGGTTGTTGATGGAGAGGCTTCAACGTCGATTCATGTCATATCAGGAGTGCCTCAGGGCACAGTTCTAGATCCTCTGATGTTCCTCTTCATAAATGACATTGGTGACGAGGCCGATTTTACCATCAAATTATTTGCGGATGATTGCCTTTTGATGCGGAGAATAGCATCTGTAGATGACACGATAAAACTTCAATCAGATACGGACAGTCTTTTGGAGTGGGCTGATCGTTGGCAAATGCAATTCAACGCCAAGAAATGCTACTCAATGCGAATTCACAGAAAGAGGCATCCCATTATGCACACTTATACTATGAGGGGAGATGATCTTTCTAAGTGTGGCCAGCAAAGCATATCTTGAAATCGAGCTACATGAGCGTCTAAGCTGGAAATCGCATGTAGATGCGGTCACAAACAAGGCATCGAGGACCCTTGGATTCATTCGGAGAAATCTCGGAAGACAATGTCCAACAGAAGTGAACAAACTGGCATACAACTCTCGTACGGTCCCAGCTAGAGTATGCTTTGGTAGTATGGGACCCCAACAAGCAGAATCAGATAGCCCAACTAGAGAAGATCCAAAGACGTGCACTTCGTTTCATTTGTGGAAACTACCAGCGTGATGCCAGTATAACATCCATGCGACAACAACTTAATCTCCCAACTCTTGAAGAAAGAAGGAAACGGACACGATTGTCATTGTTCTACAAGATAGCAAATAACAAAATTGCGATACCAATACCAGATTACATCAAACCGAGGGAGCGAACTACAAGGAGGAGTCAACAACAACGATATATGAGAATAGGCTCTTCAATGGACACTTACAAATTTAGTTATTTCCCCAGGACACTTAAGGACTGGGACGATCTACCTCAGAACATCGTCGAACTGCCTCCTTTGGACTTGGAGCAGTTCAAGGTGGCTCTTGAATCAATTTAGTTCCCTTTTCAGGAACTGTGCCGCATAGAGCTGTATAAAAACAACTCTATGTTTTATCATCATCTAGATGCTGAATAGGCGTTGATGAGTTTTACCATAGAAGTAGAAGTCCGTTTCTCTTAGAGGTGGAGAATTTGAGTTCGCTGAAATAATTAATGTTACAGATAGGCTGCATACGTTTTGTAGCCCGTGTTTTCGTTTTTTGGACATAGATCAGAAGGATATACTACATTCACATGCAGCAAATATATCATGATGATACTATACCAGTATTATCACATCTGAATAATAAATCGGTTGAAGAGTATTGTTTCACATTATCCCAATTTAAAAACAAAACAAAAAAGGGAGTCACATACAAAGTACAATAAAAAGAATTATAGTTGTGACTGAATTTGCCAAAGTCTCTGTTGTTTTGAAGGCTACTTCTACCGTTAGAAAACTATTTTAAAAAGGCTAAAGTGTGGTAATATGGTTATGGGTTTTGCATTTATTCATTCTTTGTACCTACATGTATAAAGAGTGGTAAATTAGCACGCATGGAACAAACTCAATCGATACAAAATATAAAATATGTAACTATTTGTATTATTTCTATTTTCCTAGTTCATACTAACTTGCCACATCGTCGTTCATGAGGTCGTCTGCCAGACGTTGGTGATTAATCGCATTCAGGGCTTTCTTCAACTTTTCACGTTCTTCGGACCTTTTCGTCTTCTTCTTCCAATCATGGAGCATATCAAGTGTTCCCATGTATGTAACAGTGTTGCCTATTTTGTTCGCTTCCATGTAACGTTTTATTTCCGAATGATCAAATTCTAATTTCCCGCCTAGATTGTAGATGTCAGTATCCTTCTGAATATGCTCAGCTACTTTCTTGAGAAGATTGTCAGAATCGTGGTCCCTGTATTCGTTGGTAGGTCTATGTTTGAATGGAGATCATATGACATGTTACTTTTTATACAACAGTCTCACTTGACCGATTTTACAATTAAATGTATAGCAGTGGTTTGAAGTCTTTGTGTATGATACCGGATAATGCCCACTTATAGGCATTAAATGAAACTTTAAAGTAGACATTCATTGATTTTAAAGATTTATTTAATTTGAATCATTGCATAGTTGAAGGATTGATCAAACAAGGTTATCAAGATTATCCGCATTGAAACATTCAAAGTAACGGTTATTATCAATTTGAAAACGGTAAAATGCCGCCCCACTTTCGCGCTTGAAGAGTTCCCCGAACACTGCTGACATAAGTAATTTCAGGGACCAAATAAGCATCAGCAGACGATATCTCAAAGCAATGCACACATTTTTAATGCATCTTCCGTCGTCTCCTCTTCATTTATTTCTCTTATAATGCCAGCGTTCTTGTTACTGATTGATCTGCTGACTGACTCCAGATTTCGGACTTTGTTTTAATTTAATGAAAAATGCAGCGTTATAATAGATATAAAGGTATCAGCTCTAGCTTCAATATAGATTGTAAGAAAGACGCCATTGTACGTTAAGCTGAATATAATAACGCATGCTCAACATTTTAATCTGTAACAAAAACCGTCTTTGCTATCATTCAGCGGGCTTTTCAATTTAAATTTAGGCTGATTATTTCAGAGAATTTTTTCATCAATCATGTATTTGGTTTCTTACCGAACAAATGATAATGGAATAAACAAAAATCACTGCAGAATAACGGATCCTGTACAAGATTATGATTTTGATTGGACAGGATATACTGGTAGCGCGCTATTGTTATAGTGCCTTGTACACGCGAGCGCGCTATCGATTGATTGCTACGTTCATGCTAGCGAGCTACCGCTTGTCTGCTTTGTGCACGCATGCACGCATATATATGTAACAACAGTTATTGTTCATGCCCATTGCACCGTGCTCAGTGCTTTTGCAGCGCTATTGAAAGTAGCATCGCGTGCTTCAGATTATCGGCTTTCGATTACGCGTCTTAGTCAACAACAGCCAGATTGGATTTTCTCGAGTATTTTAATTAGCGAACATATAGACCGTGGGCCGAGCGCGATTTTCGTTCAAGTTCGTTGCATAGATTCCGGTACAAGATTTAGATAATGTTAATAAGAAGATAAAAATACACAAATCCAAAATCAGCTTATCCCCGCGACTGAATCCTTGTCGTTCGTATAAAACATAAGATTAATTGACAAGTTATTTAAGAGAAATGTACGTGAACGAGACCGCCAACTCTCCGTTCGTACACGTGTATAAACTCGCCGTGCGACGAGTGTGAAACAGCACATTCTCCGTCTCCGTTGTACGAAGAAATTATGTAATCCATTCGAATATTTCCCAAAGCTTATCACATTTGCTAATGTAAATAATATGATTTTGCAAATATGAACTGCGAAAACTAATGAAAACCTCGTCAGGGTGAAAATATTTCGAAAATGGGCGGTCATAGCTACCATGAAACAGACGAGAAATAGCGCGTTGCCAATTTGATATTATTGTAAGGATCGTATGCAATTCTCTTGAATGTACATACGATGTACACTGATCTGTGTAGAGATCAGTGGCTCCGTACCGAGAAGACTCGAGTAATTTTTGTGTAATTAAAACTTTTGATGAAAACATTTCTTGTATTAGCAATGCAATGGTACTTTAAGAATAGGCCTACAGAATTAGAGTCCCTAAATATTCATTGTAATTATAAAAAACGATATATGTATTTTTTTTATTTCCAGCCCAATAACTTGTCAATTAAAGATTTTTATCCTAATTTCTTGGTTACCAAAAACTATGTACCACAAAGTCAGTCCAAAACAAGAAAACTAAGCCCTAAAATCGCGCTCAGCCCACGGCCTAATGGTAAAGATTTAAAAAACACGCACTTGAACCAACCCTAAAATTAACTTGGCATACAGGGGATTTGTGGCTAGCACAATAGGGATTAGCACTGTGGCACTGGGTGTATTGTATGGGTGGCAGCTTAAAGGTAAAGACCAGTTATGGTCATGCGATTGCATTGTGAAAGAAATGTTGTGGAATCGATCAGAAAAGGTTGATCATCTAGCATCTAGCATCTGCAAGAAATTCGGCCCATTCTTCGTAAAGTTACAAGCACTATACACAGAAAGATGTTTATGGGACTACCCTATATCTCTCACAGTCAAATAGATATAATAATTTACCAAATATATCAATTAGTAGGCGGTTTCCTAGCAAATTTGTTATCATCATGTATTAGTCAAAACATATCCTTTCACATGATTGGTAATGAGAGCTTCCATTTCATTTTTTTTGAAATTGGGGCGTTTCCAATACTGGTCTTTATCTTTAAGAGTTAAATCTACTTCCGTACTAATCAGATGCCCCGAAATGCTTTGCGATGAAACAACCGTGAAGGTACGTATTGTAACTATGGTGAAGCACTTGCTTTGTTTATCCCAGATCATGAGAGGTGATCTTCTCATGAAAGTATACTGTAAATATCTTTGGTTAATACAATAATTGAAGGATATCCTGGCGTGAAAGCTTAGATACAATGGATCACTTTAACCAATGAAGCACTAGAGCATTAATCAGGATTTTAAAAGGAATTAAGACCAAATTAACACATGCATATGGCTAGTCTCACATTTGTTAGATAAGCCCAAACTTTGTACAAGGAAATTAAATAACGAAGGGTATGAATAATTTAGCCGTTAACAGTTAGCAGCTAGATTCTTAAGAGCGGGTTTGTTCATTTGATAGATAAATGTATATATTTGTATATATATATATATATATATGAAGAGCTCGTTTCTTGAAGGTAGTACATCCATTTTTATCAATTTTTTGATTGCATTAATGTACACATTTCCAGTAGCCTCATACACTGAAACTACCAAAAAGTTGAATATCCACAAAAAAGTGAAAAATATCCATTCAAGTTATGCATTGTACCTTGCCTACAGTATTCAACATGTTCAGTTCCAAAAAGTACTACATCGAATAACCCTATTGGGTTCGATCTACTCACATTTCAACAGTGGTTGGTGAAGAAGTGTACTGTTCTGTTAACTTTTTGTAGATTCCTGTCAAGAGAATAAGTTATAATATTGAACAAAATTGTTTGAATGACTGTTGATATATAATTCATCTATTTCATTTTTCACTTCCAATAGGGTCCTTAGCTATGGATTATCGCGGAATTTCCTTTTTGATTAACAGAGAATTGAAAATATATCCTGTGAACGGTTGCTTTACTCTAATAAAGAACACAATCACGTGTGGCATTTGATTTCTCAAGAAGCACTTTTGTCCTCGGTCACATCGCTAAACCGATTCCAAAACCATTCCAAACTGATCAACTGTTGGCCTATTGTGGATAGCCAGGAGTTTCAAGTTTGACAGACATGGGCGCTATACAAAAACCCACTATTCTTATTGTTTGGTCTGTTAAACGTTTCGTCGATGTAACTTTGAAATGCAAGGCCTCGCTCAGATATGACGCGGCATAACTGCGGCGGTTAATTTATTGATGGTGACGTTAAGTGTAGGCCTAATACGCTTCACATTTTCTGAATATTAAAATGAATCTTCAATACACAGAGGACTTTTGTTGTGTGAAGTTGCCATTCATTCACACTTTTAAAAAGGGCATGGCGGTTTACCGTGTCAGATCAGAACGAGCCTCTATGGTACGATTAATGGTTGCATTATTATGTAAGAGCTTTTACCTTCTGATATTTTGTTTGCAAGCAAATTAAGGCCTTCCCCTCGTAGTATTTCCACAAGAGCACGACGGCAATCAGAACCTTTAGTTTGTTCTGTTTTCCACATGCATAAGATATCGAAGACAGATGCACTGACGTCCAGGAGGTTCTTTGTCAGAATAATTTTACTTCGTGCATGCGTGAACCCCAAAGCAATGCACACAGTGTTGTAATATTCGGGAGATACGTCATGTGCCAATGACAACAGCTCTCTTTCTTGTAAAGGACCAATGGATCTTATGGAGACACAAGGGAAACAACAGTGAAATTGTGAGGATCGTAATCGCGTATTAAATACATTACAATTTCCCATTCACTAGTTAATGTCCATTCATGATTTAATGAGTCATATGTAATCTGATAAACTTATTCCAACTTTGGCTTAAAAAGAAAACTGTTCGAGACTTCTTATCTCAAATCATCAGGATTACAATGCAGTATGCATGCATACTAGTCAATGTACATGCATTACGAATGCCCTAGTTATCGGTGTATCTAAAGAATCAAAAGTAGAAGCAAGCAGAGAGGATGGGTTGAGGTACACGTCGTGCCCCCTGACAAAATAACCAGTCGTTGTACACCATCTGATTCCATCGACCTACTAAGGCTAACTCCTATCAGGCCCCCATCTGGCTTGGAATCAAACCATTTTAAGTACAAGTCCACTCCAAAAGTAACTTACTTTCAATAGAAGGAGAAAAATCAGACAAACTCATCCGAAAAAGTTTGAGCAAAATCGGATAACTAATAAGAAAGTTATGAATTTTGAGAAAGTATGTAAAACTATAGAATGGAAATCACTACACAAATAGCCAAATTGGTAATCAGTTTGTGATGTCATGTCCTTACTATTTATCAATTGCTTTATATAGTTTAACCTTTAATTTCATTTCTTATCCCCAAAAACTTGATTTTTCCATGCCTTTGCCCAGGTTATATGATTTGTATCATATTGCGTGCATGACATAGCACAAAATCTTTTATGAACTTTGAAGAAATGATACTCTTTTCTGAATGTTATATATTCATAATTATTGATTTTTATATAAATTGTTCATCAAAAAAAAAATCTAAAAAAAAAAAAATCATTAACTGGAAAAAAACAAACTCTATATTTAGTGCACCTACACAACAACATATAACTATCAATCTAACTCGGATGGTGGTGTGAAGAAATACGATTCTTAGGGGTGAAAATAGGAAATTTATATTATCAAAATAAAGAAAACAATTATTGGATAGTGAGGACATGACGTCACAGACTCATGAGTGAATTTCCAATTTGTCTTGTGACTTTCATTGTTTCATAGTTTTACAGACTTTTTCAAAAATTCATAACTTTCTTATTAGATATTCGATTTTGCTCAAACTTTTTTTGATTGGTTTGTCTGATTTTTCTGCTTCTATTGAAAGTAAATTATTTTTGTAGTGGAGTTGGCCTTTAATACCAAGTAGGCCTACTATTGGAGAATTGTCTTTTTGGAATACTACCTTTGAAAAAAGCCTACCTGTACTTGGGCCCAGGGTTCATCTCTACATCACCCGCCCGTAGTAAAAGTTGCCTGAGAGAAACCGTAGCTGTCTTCTTGATGTCAGCCCCACGTGTCTGGAAACAGTAAGTGTGGATCATTTCCTTCACAGCAGATTCATTTATTAATATGTCCTTTTTGTTCGTAGATTTAGGAGAACTCTTGCTGTTTCTCATGATGCATTCGACCGAAGACGTTTATTCTTTAGGAGTGGAAGATTAAAGAGAAGGTTGAGTTCTGGAAGAGGTGAAAAGTAATTTGTGAGCGTTTTCATTGTTATGATGCAAGTGTGGGAGAACATCAGATAAAAAATGTTCCCCCAAAATCAGGGCTCTTCAAATGCCTTCATATTCTAAATATGACATGTAACAGCTTAAAAATGTGGGCCTCATTTTTATGCCACATGTTTGTGTAGCCCCATACGCATCTTTCTATCATTGCTTGTTACTTTTACCATGACTGTGCCAATTTTGAAAATGTTGATGATTCCAGAACCTTGCAGTACACACTAATACTTATATGCTATATGATCAACTTTTTCTGATCGATTCCACACCATTTATTTAACAATGCAATCGCATGATCAGAATTCAACTTTATCTTACAGTTATGTTATATTTGATGGTAGATACAGCTCTAGCGTTGTTATTGTTGATGGTAGATTCAGTTCTTGGTTTTGTTGTTTTTGGAGGCAGATTCTCTTGAAGTACTAATTGCCTTTGATGGTAGATCTAGTGAAATAGTTGTTCTTGTTATGGTTGATTCTGAATATTCAAAAATAAGAAAGGGTATGAACTAGCCTTAATGCTTCGTGAAAATGTAAAATATTGATATTGATATCACCAAGCCTAATCGGCTCCCATAGACGTGCGCGGAGAGCCATGCAAACAAACCCTAAAATGCGTCCGAAATCACCCCTTCCCACATCCAACTGATGGGTTCGAGGGTCTTAGATTTGGTAGATACTCATGATAATAGACGAGTCGGCAGTCAGGTTTGTGATGATGGTGACCATGTTTATTGAACTACGACGGATACCGGATATATCGGACATCGTATATCGTAACATCCCCCTTCCTCTGGAAAGATTGGGAATCAGTGAACATCACTGATCGATGATTAATGACATATTGCTTTGATAACAATACTTTTGGTAGTATGCAAGTTTTGGTTATTTGCTTCCTAATAAACTTTTTCCAATCAGGTTATATAACATAAAATCTTGATTTGTTTTCAATACGTTTCTTTTGTATTGTATTAACGAATGAGTATTTAACTGTCTATATAATTATATCGTTCCACTTTCAACTTCACAGTTGATCTGCAAGATTGAACATAGTTTTGATATAACTTGATTCCTTTATAAAATGAATTTCCAAACGAAACATGTTTGGGCTAGCATCTGTTTAGACTTATAAACATTATGCTTGTCATACCAAAAATACTGTACAATGATTATACATACATATGAACAATAAACTTCTTAGACTACATTAAACTAAGCGTCTTCTGTGTTCTTCTTTATCTTCTCTCTTCTTTGAAGAAATTTAAGAGTTCAGTTTCAATCTTCAAACATGTATCTCGCTGGTGTACGGATGTTGCGTCCATATCTTGTTGTGGTTTGCGAGTTTGATGTTGGTCCTTTAGCTTGAATGTTCTGAGTTTCTGGTGTTGGCTGATGGTTGTTGCCATTCTGTTGTGGTGTTTCTGCTTGAGTAGATGAAGTGTAGTCTTCGTCGAACCTAACACGCTTTGGAGTAGGGTTGGTTGACGATGGAATCTCCCTCAGGTGAGATCGGTTTCGTCTCAGGATTCCTCCGTTAGGTGTTGATACTTCATACGACCTAGGCTCGTCGCAGACTTTGGATACTTTGGCTGGTATCCAAGTATGATCTTTGGGATGTAGGACTCTGACTGGTTGTCCTACGTGGAGTGGTGGAAGATCTGGACCCGCATGTCGATCGTGCGTTTCTTTCATCTTACTCTGTCGATTCAAGAGATGATCAGTGGTGGTAGATTCTCTTGAAAGATGATGACTTGGCAGTGTTGTTCTGATGGGTCTTCCAAACAACATCTCTGCAGGTGATCTCATGTGACTGTCAACGGGCGTTGCTCTTAGGTGTGACATAGCCAGTTGACTGTCTTGGCCAGTCTGTGAACACTTTTTCAACAGATTCTTGACGGTACGAACCATTCTCTCAGCTAGTCCGTTGGATCTTGGATAGTGAGGTGAAGAGGTTGTATGGGTGATCGACCACTTCCGGCACATGTCCTTGAAGTGCTTCCCGACAAATTGTGGACCGTTGTCGGATACGATCTCCTCTGGTGGACCAAATAGACTGAAGATTCCACTCATCACGTTGGCTACTGCAGCACTTGATGTGTCAGTCAGCTTGTAGACTATCGGATACTTGGAGTAATAGTCAGTGACGAGTAAATAGTCTTGTCTGTTTAGCATGAACGAATCTGTTCCTAGTCTAGTCCAAGGTGCTGAAGGTACATCATGGGGAAGCAACGGCTCTTTCTGTTGCCTTGCCTGGTGTTCCTGGCATGCAGCACATTGCTTTACGATCTGTTCAATGTCCTTGTTGATGTGTGGCCAGAACACTGTCTCACGAGCTAGTCGTCTCGTGCTCTCGATTCCCATGTGTCCAAGATGAAGTTGTCTGAGGATATCTTCTCGAAGTGTCTTCGGTATGATGACTCTGCTTCCTTTGAAGAGTACTCCTTGAGATACTCCAATCTCATCTCTGTAAGACCAGAATTCCCTGAGGGATGTCGGCAGCTCCTGAAGAGTTTCAGGCCAACCCTGGGTGACTGTCTGCCACAATGACCTAAGAACAGGGTCATTGGATGTTTCCCTCTGGAGTTCTGTTCTCTTGTGTTGTCCGAAGAAGATCAAGTCGATTTGATGAGTGTCTTCAACTTCGGAGCAGATTGATTCCACTCTGATGTCTAGTGGAACATCGCGTGCTTCCTTGGGGTTAGGAAGACGGCTCAAGGTATCTGAAAGAATCATTTCTTTCCCAGGTCGGTACTTGACTTGGCATCTGTATCCTTGTACCTTGATCAATAGTCTCTGTAGACGAGGTGGTGCGCTTCTTAGAGGTTTCTTCCAAATTGTCTCCAAAGGCCTGTGATCTGTTATCACAGTGAATTCCTTCCCGAATAGGTATGTATGGAATCGGACGATACCAAACACTAGGGCTAAGGTTTCCCTCTCTATGTTCGAGTAGTTGGACTGTGCATTGGAGAGACTTTTGGATGCAAAAGCTACGGGTTTGCCATCTTGGAGCAGGCATGCTCCCAGCCCTTTCATTGATGCATCTACCTCAACGGTTGTCTCTTTCTTTGGGTCAAAGAACTGCAGGCATGCACCCGATGAGACTGCGCTTTTCAGGCTGTTTAAGGCATGTTCGTGATCCTCGTCCCAGACGAATGGAATTTCCTTGTGAAGGAGTTCACGAAGTGGTGCTGACTTCTCTGATAGATTAGGAATGTATGGTGCTAGGTATGTGAATAATCCTAGGCATCTCTGAACATCTTCCTTGTCCTTGGGTGAAGGCATTGTGTTGATAGCTTCAACCTTGCTTGGATCTGGGAAGATTCCAGATCTTGTGTACATGGATCCAAAGTAGCTGATAGCTTCCTTCTTGATAGTACACTTGGAGCTGTTGAACACGAGTCCTTCCTGTTTCGCTGTCTCCATGAGTAAGTGGAGATTCTTGTCGTGTTCCTCCTCTGTTTTCCCGACAATGGCAATGTCGTCTGCGATACATACGCAGCCAGGCACATTCTGGACGATCCTATCCATGTGTTGCTGGAAGATGTCTTGGCTTGTGCATAAGCCGAAGGGTAATCTTTGGAAACAATATCTTCCAAATGGTGTTCTGAAGGTGGTCAGGTCTTGGCATTCCTCTGCTAGGTGTACTGACCAGTATCCAGCCTTTGCGTCTAGCTTGGAGAAGAATTGAGCTCCTGCGAAGATTGGTTGGATTTCTTCCAAGGTTGGAATTTTGTGTGGACACCTTTTCAAGGCATCGTTCAACCTTCTGGGGTCAAGACATATCCGTATGGATCCATATTTCTTCACAACGGTGGTCATCGAGCTACACCAATCTGTGTGGTTTTCTATCTTTCTGATGACTCCTTGCTTCTCCATGTTATCTAGTTCGGCTTTGATCTTGTCCTTCAGATGGACACTGCACTTTCTAGGTGCATCTATGGTTGACTCTGCATCATCTTTCAGATGCAGCATTGCTTTCCCGCTAAAGCTTCCTATGGCATCAAACTGATCTGGGTATGTTTGTTTGAGGTCACTAACACTTGTGATAGGTGTATGTGTAGGTGTGTCCTTGTGCATTGTGTGGATTGTGATAATCCCGAGATCTGTGCAACCTAACAACCCTAAGATAGCTGGTCCATTCACGTCTGCTACGTAGAATGTATGTGTATACCATTCTGGACTCTTGTATCTACACTTTATGTCTAGTGTACCAACGCATGGTATTGATATTTCGCCATATGCTACTAGCTTTACTGGTGTACGTTTCACTACTTGCCTCCACTTGTCACCATATATTTGTTTGGCTGTGCGTACTGTGATAGTATTAGCGCTTGCCCCAGAGTCTATCTTCAGATATAGGTAATGCTGACCTGATTTCTGTGGGCATATGATGTCAATGTTTGCAAAAGCTACTGTACCCTTTGAGTTGATCACTGTGTGTGTTCCGATCGTGTGTATGGTGTCAAAATGCTCGAAGTTTGATGGACCTGCTGATTGTTGATGTTCATGATCTGTGCTAGTATCATGTTCAGTGTCCATTTCACTTATCGGTTTATACTTTCGACCCTTTGATTTTGATCGTGATTGGTTACCGTGTTTCGGTTGACGGTCATCAGATTTATGGTCATCTGATCTACGATCTGGTTTTCGACTTCGATCGTTCTTAGCCTTTCTACAGAACTTGGCCCAATGGCCCTTTGTGTCACAGGCACGACACACATCGTTTTACGCAGGGCACTGACGAGGTTTGTGGATACGTCCACAGTTTCCACACGTCTTTCGTCCCTGGTTCCGCTTGAATGAATCTATGCTTTCTTTAGCCGGCTCAAGCGTTTCTAGGCATTTTCTGCTCGCCGCAACTGCCTCGTATTTTCGACCCTCTACAAGAATTGCTTCGATTAGATATCCTTTAGGCTGGTCCAATAGGAATTTCTGGAATTCTAGA